TGGGTTGAAGAGTGTGGGTTTTGTTTATTTTGATGGAGGTTTCTAAAAGGGTCTGTGGAGGTTTCTAATGATTTTTACTTAAAGCCTTATTTAATAATTTTATTAAATGTTAGTTTTTTATTAATATTTTTTATAATAAAGATTTTTTTATTTTAAAATACATATTTTATACTTCTAATATATGCCATATCAGTATAATCATTAGAATTATAGACGGAAATGGATAGATGGGGCGTTATGGAACTTTTTTTATATTTCGAAGGGTCTTTTGAACTATTTTAAAAAATCAAGAGACATTTTAAACTAAGGTACATAGTTTGGGGTATTTGTGAAAATAAGGCTTGAAAATATTATTTCTGTTTTTTTTTTTTTTTTTTTTTTTTTTTTTTTTTTTTTTTTTTTCTTTCTATAATTCTCCCACTAAAAGAGAAAAAAAGTAAAAAAGTGCTTATATGCCTACCACCACCTTCAATGACTTTTTTCAACGATTTTTTTTTTTTTTTGGTTGGAATCAATTAAATGAATTTCATAGGACCTTGACTACTGAAATCTTTCTATTTATTAATTAGCTCGTTTTCTTGTCAATGAAGAATCTGTTTTGGTCGTTCATCATTTGTCATGTCCTTTTTTAATTGTAACTCTTCATATCTTAGAACTTGCAGAGAATGGTCTGCAACATATTTTGGAGCATAGATACATGCAAGATCATATCATACTCTTATGCAGATGTATGTGCTCCTCTCTCTCTCTCTCTCTCCCTATCCATAGTTACATTTGCTGGTGTTTTCAAGAAACTGTGCAAGTTGATTTTTTGGTTGGCCATATTTTGGAAGCTTTCATTCGCGGTTAGTATTTTGTTTTTATTTATTTATTTTTTGCTATTTCTTAGCATTTTGATATGTTCAGTGTCAAGATCTTTGTTTCATGAAAAAAGTTCTCCTTTTGAGAGCTTTGTTTTTTTCCTTTGATGTTTTAAGTATCGGGTTTTCCCATTATACTTTTTATTCTATTTTCTTTGTTGTGGATCTTTGGGCAATGCTGAATTCATATAGCCCAGGTTCCTTTTTCTGGGAGTGGCTCAGGCAAGGAAAAAAAATGGGATTTGTCTTTGGTGGGTTGAAGAGTGTGGGTTTTGTTTATTTTAATGGAGGTTTCTAAAAGGGCTGGTTGTTAATTTCTAATATAAAATTACCACTCCTACTAATTTATGGACTGTTGTAGAGTGCTAAAATTTGAGGTTCTCTCTGTTGACATTTAGAAGGTATGTGCCTAATCAAATGTCCTTTTTTTTTAATTTTTTTTCCTTTTCCTTTTTTTTGTCCGCTTACTGCAACTTCTTCATCTCACTGAAGTATGTCCAGAGTCCTATTGGCATAATCTTATTACCGTTGTTTGTTGTTTGGTTTGAATACTTCTAGGTGGTCATGTTAAATGCTTCCTCAACATGGTTGGCTAATGTTTGCCATGGGACCGGATCCCTAATAAAGCTCAGGGTTTGATTTTCAAAAAAAGGGATGAGCGTTTGATCTCTGTCTTTTGCTTTTCTTCATTGCTGGGGTTTGAAACTAGTTTCTCCATTACTTGGTTGTATGCAGATGTAAGTTCACCTCTCTCTCTCCCCCTCCCTCTCCACAGCTACATTTTCTGGTGTTTTTAAGAAATTGTGCAAGTTGATTTTTGGGTTGGCCATATTTTGGAAGCTTTCATTCGCGGTTAGACTTTTCTTTTTGTTTTGTTTTTTTTTTTCTATTTCTTAGCATTTTGTTTTGGAATCTTTGTTTCTTGAAAAAGGTTATCCTTTTGAGAGCTTTGTTTTTTGCCTCTGATGTTTTAATTATCGGGGTTTCCCGTTATAATTTTTATTCGATTTTCTTTGCTGTGGATCTTTTGGCAATGCTGAATTCATATAGCCCAGGTTCCTTTTTCTGGGAGTGGTTCAGGGAAGGAAAAAAAAAGGATCTGTCTTTGGTGGGTTGAAGAGTGTGGGTTTTGTTTATTTTGATGGAGGTTTCGAAAAGGGCTGAATGTTAATTTCTAATTGAAAATTACCACTCCTTCTAATTTATGGACTCTTGTAGAATGCTAAAATTTAAGGTTTTCTCTGTTCACATTTAGAAGGAATGTGCCTAATCAAATGTCTTTTTTTTTTTTTTTTTAAATTTTTTTTTCCTTCTTTTTCTTTTTTTTGTCCTCTTACTGAAACTTCTTCATCTCATTGAAGTATGTCCAGAGTCCTATTGGCATAATCTTATTTTCGTTGTTTGTTGTTTGGTTTGAATACTTCTAGGTGGTCATGTTAAATGCTTCCTCAACATGGTTGGCTAATGTTTGCCATGGGATCTGGTCCCTAATAAAGCTCAGGGTTTGATTTTCAAAAAAAGGGATGAGCGTTTGATCTGTCTTTTGCTTTTCTCCATTTGGTGGGGTTTGAAACTAGTTTCTCCATTACTTGGTTGTATGCAGATGTAAGTTCACCTCTCTCTCTCTCTCTCTCTCCACAGCTAAATTTGCTGGTGTTTTCAAGAAACTGTGCAAGTTGATTTTTGGGTTGGCCATATTTTGGAAGCTTTCATTCGCGGTTAGTATTTTGTGTTTGTTTTTGTTTTTGTTGCTATTTCTTAGCATTTTGATATGTTCAGTGTCAAGATCTTTGTTTCATGAAAAAGGTTCTTTTGTGAATGTGGATTCTGGCTTCAACTTGAAAGTGTTGTGGATGATGTACGAATTCTACTTCAATAAAGATTTTATTTTTTATTTTTTTTAAATTATTTGTTTTGTTGTTTCTTGCACTTGTGTTTCATAAACTATATAAATTGTATCTATGGGCAGAAAAGAAGGGATTCTTATAGCAATTGATATTAATTTGACAAATTTTAGCCTAAATTTTTTATTTGTGATTTGGATCTCTTATGTTTTGAAAGTGAAATTTTCTTTTGCCATTCACCAGCTTTGTTCGATTGCAACACTCTGACCAGCATTCACCAAAATTTCGCCATCTACTTCTCTTGGCAGGTGAAATGCTTGTTCCCGAAATCCTAATTTTCAATTATGCTAAAATCCTTCTTTTACCGTTTTCTTATCCTTTTCCATTAGGATTCTATGCAGATTGTTGCTCTTAATTTTTGTTTTGCCCGTGCATTCTCTTGTTGTTTGCAACCATTTTTCATAGCGTAAAGCATGGAAATTTATTGTTTGACATTTGATTTGCATTCATTTGTCTTGCATTCATTTTTCATATCTTTATGAAAATTTTATTTGATTGATTGTTATATCTTCAATCTTCAAGTTCTTTCCTATTGATGGTGGAGGTATTTTAGGAGAGAATTGAGCACTTTTATTTCTCTTCTAATTCTTACATAAACCGGCCTCCTTATATAGATGAGCCAGAGAATAGCAAAATAAGGAAAGTAAAACAAATAAGTAAACAAATCAAAATAAACGGAAACTGCCTAATATTCTAATCCCTTGACTTTAGCTATCAATCCTCATCATTCCTCTATATTTGGACAGAATTAGGACAGCCATACATTCCTAATTTACTGACACCCCCCCCAAGTTGGTGCATAGATGTTTATCATGCCCAACTTGCTTTCAAAGAACTCAAAATTTTGTCTAAGTAGACTTTTGGTGAAGACATCGGCAATTTGCTGAGTTGTAGGCAGGAAAGGTATGCAGATAACTCCGTTTTTCACTTTCTCCTTAATAAAGTGTCTCTCAATCTTCACGTGCTTCGTTCGATCATGCTGTACTAGATTATTCGCAATACTAATTGCTACCTTATTATCACAAAATAGCTTCATTGGTAGCTCCACCGGTTGGTTCAGTTCTTCTAGGATTCTCTTTAGCCAAAGAATCTCACAAATTCCTAGGTCCATCCCCCTATATTCGGCTTCAGAACTACTCCTAGCCACAACACTTTGCTTCTTACTCCTCCATGTCACTAAGTTTCCCCATAGAAAAGAACAATAACCTGAGGTAGATCTCCTATCCATCACAGATCCTGCCCAGTATGCATCAGTGTAGACTTCAATCTTTTGTTGATCACTTTTGTTAAATAGTAATCCTTTTCCTGGAGTCCCCTTCAAGTATCTTAGAATTCTATAGACTGCTTTCAAGTGTTCTTCATAGGGAGAATGCATGAATTGACTCACCATACTGACTGCAAAAGAAATATCTGGTCGAGTATGAGACAGATAGATTAACTTCCCTACCAAACGTTAGTATCGACCGGTGTCTACAGGAACTCCTTTAACTTCTCCAAGCTTCGAGTTAAACTCCATAGGAGTATCTGATGGTTTACACTCATTCCTGTTTCTTCCAATAGGTCTAGGATATACTTCCGTTGGGAAACTACTATACCTTTCTTAGACCTAGCAATTTCCAGTCCAAGGAAGTATCTAAGAGGTCCTAGATCCTTCGTCTCAAATTCGGTGGCAAGGCTCTTCTTTAGTTTACAGATTTCCTCGAGGTCATCACCAGTGAGAATAATGTCATCTACATAGACAATTAAAACTGCAATTCTACCTTTAGCAGAGACCTTCACGAACACGGTATGATCAGCTTGCCCCTGTAAGAACCCTTGAGTTTTTACAAACCTCGTAAATCTATCGAACCATGCCTTCGGGGATTGTTTGAGTCCATACAGTGACTTCCTCAACCTGCAACATTTCTTCCCAAAGCTCTCAACAAAACCCGGGGGAGCTTCCATGTAGACTTTCTCTTCTAGATCTCCATTTAGGAAAGCATTCTTGATATCCAGTTGATGTAGAGACCAGTCCAGGTTAACTGCAATTGAAAGCAACACTCTCACAGTATTTAGTTTGGCAACTGGTGAAAAAGTTTCAGAATAGTCGATGCCATAAGTCTGTGTAAACCCCTTGGCGACTAATCGTGCCTTGTACCTTTCAAGTGACCCATCAGAATTGTACTTCACAGTAAACACCCGCTTACATCCAACTAGTGTCTTTCCTTCTGGAAGTTCCACTTTCTCCCATGTCCTATTTTTCTCATGAGCTCTCATCTCCTCAAGGACCGCCTCCCTCCATTCAGGAATACCTAGAGCCTCCTGTATATTCTTAGGAACAACAACACAAGACACTTTGGAAGTAAAAGCACAGAATGATGGAGACAGACTCTGATAGGACAGATAATTATACAACGGGTATTTGGTACACGTTCTAGTTCCCTTCCTAAATAGGCAAATCTAGATTTTCATCAGACTCTGATATGATAGCTGGTTCAGAAGACTCAGACTCAAAAGGACTTGACTCAGACTGAGAATTACCTGACTGACCTTCAATCTCAGGATTTTGCCCTTGGGTTAGTTTCTTGATTATGCTGCAAGTTGGTCATTTTCTGTCGTTCCGGATACTTCCTTGAATAGACAATCCCTTTATAACGGTTACCACCTTGTCTCGCACACATCTCAATCCCTTCCTGAGTCTGATTTTCTGAAGGCATAGAAGAACAATCCTTGTTTCCATTATTTGAGACATCACACGTTTTTGAGATAGAATCATGAAGCGTATCTTTACCATTCTCAGGTTCATTGTTATGAGCATTAGCATTAGATAAAAAATCATCTAATAAACAACCAAAGGTGGAATCCGAATCTTCCCTAGATGTCCCCCCCTGAAGATGAGGCATGTTGAAAAATGGTTTATCTTCAAAGAAGGTTACATCCATAGAAATGAAAAAATTTTGGGATATGGGATCAAAACACTTGTATCCTTTCTGAGTTGAAGGATAACCAACAAAGGCACATTTTTTTTGCTCTAGGATCAAGTTTTCCCCTATTATTATCATGGACATGGACGAATCTTGTGCACCCAAACACTCTAAGTGGGAGATCATAGGATAGCCGAGAGGAAGGAAAGCACGTCTTAAAGTAATTCAAAGGGGTTTCAAAGTTTAAAACTTTTGAAGGCATCCGATTGATCAGATATGTAGAAGTAAGAATAGCCTCACCCCATAAGTATTTAGGAACCTTTGTGGAAAACATTAAAGACCGTGCAACCTCTAAAAGATGTTTATTTTTCCTCTCTGCTACCCCGTTTTGTTGGGGAGTATTATTGCATGAACTTTGGTGGACAATACCTTTCTCAACAAAAAAACCTCCTAAGATCTGGTTGAAATACGCTTTACCATTGTCACTTCTGAAAATCTTAATTTGGGTTTGAATCATTTTGTAAAAAGATTTGAACACATTTTCAGCATCGGATTTTTCATTAAGAAGAAATACCCATGTAACCCGAGTATGATCATCAATGAAGGTTATGAACCACCTTTTTCCAGTTTTCGTTTTAATTCTTGAAGGCCCCCACACATCACTATGAATCATAGTGAATGGTTCTGTGGCCTTATAAGGTTGTGCTGGAAAGGATACTCGGCGATGTTTGGCAATTTCACAAATTTCACACTGAAAAAAAGATGGATTTTTATTCATAAAAAGTTTAGGAAACAGATGTCTCATATAATAGAAACTTGGATGTCCTAATCTAAAATGCCATAACAGAATTTCATTCTCTCTAAGAACTGAAATAGAATTGAGACAAGTCTTCTGGGATTGCCTGTTCAAGTCATATCCATCTTCGAAGAAATAGAGACCTCCAACTTGCCTAGCATTGCCAATCATCTTCCCCGTAGTCAAATCCTGAAATTTACATCCAGATGAAGAAAAATTAGCAAGACAGTTTTGATCCATTGTTAGTTTACTGACTGACAATAGGTTATAATATAACTTGGGAACATGAAGAACATTGTGGAGTGTAAAACAGGGAGAAATCACAATTGATCCTTTCCCGGCTACGGCAAAGAAAGAACCATCTGCGATTTTTACTTTTTGATTTCTTGCACACGGACTATAGGCTGAGAACATTTTAGAGAAACCGGTTATATGATCTGTTGCACCAGAGTCAATTATCCACAAATCATTTGAATTGACACTAAAACAAGACGCGACTAGAAGACTACCTTTCTGAACCAGAGAACAAGAAGGATTGGAATTAGGGACACTTTGGGATTGAAGAAGTTTACAGATTTGCTCTAACTGTTCCTTTGTGAATGGCTGCGTTCCAGAGGTAGTTTCAAGCCCTGATGGCATGGAAACCACGCTCATCTCCCAGTGGTTTCTTCTTCCATTTGTTCGGCTTTCCATGAATTTTTCAACTCGAGTGTGCCATGGCCGCTTACAGTGATCACACCAAGGCCTTGTTTTGCCATTCTTCTTGTCTCCATCAGCCTCAACTTCTCGGGACAGGAGTGCTGATTTTTCTTCCTCTGGTTCGGGTTTCCCAATCATCACCTCCCGCCTCATCTCTTCTCTCCTAACTTCAGAGAACACTGCACGGATAGAGGGCAGTGATTTTCTTCCCAATATTCGGCCTCTAACTTCGTCAAGTTCTTGATTCAAACCCTGCCAAGAAAACATAAACACGATCATTTTCTTCCCTTTTGTTGTGTCGGATACTGTCATTAGGACACTCCCAATCATCTTCATAGCAAAGATCCAATTCCTGCCACAAGGATACAATTTCATTATAAAACATAGTAACATTCCGGTCCCCTTGTTTGGCTTTCCACAACTCTGTTTTCAGTTCAAAAATTTGAGAAGAATTTTCGATGTCGGAATACATCTCACGAACTGCATCCCACACATCTTTGGCTGTCGGCAGAAACATGTGTGGTTTTCCAATGGCTGGCTCCATTGAATTGATTAACCATGCAATGACTAGAGAGTTTTCTGACCTCCATGACGCCATCTTCGGATCTCCTGCAGCCGGCATGGTTGTTTCTCCAGTCAAATGGCCAAGCTTCCCTCTGCCATCAATCGCCAATTTCACAGATTGAGCCCATTCTAGATAGTCTCTTGACCATTCAGCCAATGGTTTGTTAGTTGGAAAGGTATATTCGAACCCAGAAAATTTTCACCACTACTGGTTGTTCCTCCGCTGCTGGTTGTACCTCCTCCACTGGTCACCGGAACTGTGTTCTGTGACTGTGCATCTTCAGCCGTAGCACCACTTGAACCAATCATCGCCCGCTTGTAATTCATCTAGGGTAGAATAATTTTAGAGCCGTGGCTCTGATACCATGAAGGTATTTTAGGAGAGAATTGAGCACTTTTATTTCTCTTCTAATTCTTACATAAACCGGCCTCCTTATATAGATGAGCCAGAGAATAGCAAAATAAGGAAAGTAAAACAAATAAGTAAACAAATCAAAATAAACGGAAACTGCCTAATATTCTAATCCCTTGACTTTAGCTATCAATCCTCATCATTCCTCTATATTTGGACAGAATTAGGATAGCTATACATTCCTAATTTACTGACAGATGGTTTTATTTTTCTACTTGCATATTGTGTTCTTTGCTTTTCAAGGTGTTGTTTTATTTCTTCATTGCGACGCTGCTTGTGCTGTTTCAGCTAAATAAAGGAGAGGCTTGGTGGGATTGCTGTTTCCCTTTTTTGCTGTGAGAACAAGAAAAGAGAAAAAAAGAGTGGAAATAGAAGATACTATAAAGAATGAAAACAAGCGAGTGTGAGGAGGAAAAAAAGAAAGCAAAGAACAGGGAAAAAGGAGGGAGAAATTGGTTGATGAAATAGAAAAAGAATGGTGTACTTTTCTTATTATTTTTTTCTCTCTTACTTTTTGCTAGAAACTGATGGTGTACTGGCATCATTATCATGTAAGCAGTAAAAAATAAATGCCGTGACCATGCTTGCTCTTTCTAGTTTAAATAGAATTGGTTTTGATAGGTTTGGTAGAGTTCCACTGCCTAGTACAAAGCTCAAGACAAATATGCGTTTTAACAAATTCATTTGACTAGTTAGTATTTTTTTTTCTTTCTTCTCCAGCCATATAGTTAACTTCAATGATCATGTTTCATAGAACAAATGGGTAAAGTTCAAGTTTATATACGGATTCAATAATTGTATTATATTTCTTCTACTAGTAATGCGCACTAAGGCAATTGATTCTATGCTTCTTTTTTTTTTTGTAGAGGGATGTGGTAATTTTTTTATTTTTTCCCCTAAAAGTTCATCTTAGTTTTATTGAATGTTCTTTTCTATTCTACTTCTAGTTGATACTTGAGACTGAATTGTACGAAGAACTTTTAGGATTTTAGAAAGACACAAATGTAGTCTAGTGGTGGCTATCACTAAATGAAATTTTTAAGTCACATGTTTTCTTGCTTGATTTTTGTTGAATTATGACACGGCACTAAAATTTCAACGGAGGGTTCTATCATAGAAAACATTCATTCCTACTGCTAACTATGAAAGATCAAAGTAGTATTGTCTTTTACAAAACCACTCGACAGGTTGGTGTTTTCTTCTCTTTCCAATTTTATAACTTCCATACATAATGTTCAGTTCACATTAGAGAAGAATGCTTATATGCATTTTAGCCTTTTTTAATTTGACTAGGTTGTTAAAAAAATTTTGACTAGGTTGTTAAAAAAATTTTGACTAGGTTGCTATATATATGAATTGGCAGGATGTTACAGGAAGATAGACGTCTTTAGACTCTTTGATGTTACTGTGTTGTATTCTTAGACCTACTTATTTTCGATTTTGCTACGAGGATTTCTCATTAAAAAAAAAAAAAAATTGGTTTTTGGGAAATATGAACGACCGATTTACTTTTATAGTAGAATTTGGTTTTTTTTTTTTCCGTTTTTAAAAGATTGTTTATGGAGGTTGATTTATATCTGATAAGACTATGCGAGATGTAGCGTTGAGTTTAAATTGAAATTTTGTCCACCTAGATATAAATAAAGTTTTAATTCTATTTTGGAAAGGGTTTTTTGTTTTTTTATTTTTCTAATTTTTTAGCAACAAGGAAAATTTAGTATATTATTTTCTTTTTTCCTATTGTTCTTCAATCGCATGATTCTAGTTTATCTTTGTTTGGAGCAGCACAGAAGAATGGACAAATGAGCCTACACATTTTACATAGGTGAGCAAGACAAACCCTTTTCTCCAATTAACTCATCTGTTATTCTCATTTAGTGTATGTACTGGTTTCATTTGTCTTTTACAAATTATATTTATTGTTTACTTCTTGATATTTAGATCTTACTAAGTTATTTATTTATTGATTTATTTATTTTTTGTTTATGTTTATACTTTCTAAAATGAGGTGTTACCAAAAGGCAAACATCATATTCATTTTCAAACGATAGCAAGATGAGGTAATAAAAAAAAATAAAAAAAAAGGACCTCTAATTTCTTCTTTGTTTTAGACATATTCTTAATGTTAGTCTGAATTAAAAACTATTTGTTTTCTTAAGTGCTTTTGAGGATTTGTATTTTAGGGTTCAAATACCCATTAGATTCACTGTTTCTTTACTGGCTCCATGTATCCCTTGTTATTAGTATTCATAGTCATCGAATTAGTTATCAAAATTTATCAACTAATTGGAGCATGTTCCTCACTACAGTTGATGTATAAATTTCGCCAAATACATTTGATGACTTTGTTTTTTTTTCTTCTTTTACTATCTGCAATGCAGATGCATTATCTTGTGAAGTATTTTTTTTTCTATTTAACTTGTACTTGCTGCACGAGTAAATCAACTTATTTGTCAACCAAAATCTGATAAGCGTGGAGGTTATATTCTTCTATGTTTCTTTGTTATTTACTTACAAGACTACTTTCTTTCTTTCTTCTTTTTTTTTTCTTTTTTTTTTCTTTCAGTGTATGTATTGGCTTGATTTTTCTTATTCATATTGCCATTTGTATTTGTCCACTTTACTGAACCTATTTGTCTATTAAAGTTTGACTAGGTTGTAGTCCTATTTTTCTACGCTAGTCAATTACTCAATTGTTATTTTTGTATAGTGTATGTAATTGATTTCAATTGTCCTTTTCAATTTCTATTTATTGTTTATTTCTTGATATTTAGATCTTACTAGGTTCTTTTTAATTTTTGTTTGTGTTTATACATTCCAAAATATGAGGGGTTACGAAGAGTCAATTCCTTTTCAATTGTTGGTACTAGAAATGAATTCATCATTGTCACTTAAAGACTTTATTTCCTTAAAATGCCTTTGAGGATTAGTATTTCAGGGTCAAATACCCATTGGATTAATTGTTTGCTCATAGGCTTCACATATTTCAGTATCCCTTATTATTATTTTTCAGTCATTTGATCAGTTTGTGAATTTGTGTTTATACATTCCAAAATGAGGGGTTACGAAGAGTCAATTCCTTTTCAATTGTTGGTACTATAAATGAATTCATCATTGTCACTTAAGGACTTTATTTCCTTAAAATGCCTTTGAGGATTAGTATTTCAGGGTCAAATACCCATTGGATTAATTGTTTGCTCATAGGCTTCACATATTTCAGTATCCCTTATTATTATTTTTCAGTCATTTGATCAGTTTGTGAATTGTCTATTGATTGGAACATGTTCTTTATACGTACTTTTCATATTCTCCAAGACCAGTTTGCTAATTTTGTCTATTGATTAGAACATATTGTTTACTGTATAGATTTTTGAGTTGAGATAGTTACGCTTTTCACTGTATTGCATGAAAATATTGATCCAATTGATAGATAAAATTTGGAAAACATTTGGTAATATTGTTTGCTCTATCAGTTTATGTTTTGGTTACATCTTATTTAGATGCATGTTTTTATCATTCTTTGTTATTTTACTTTTGCATTTTATCATTCTTTGTTATTTAACTTTGCACCGTTTGCAAATAAATTAATGATTACCATTTTCATTTTGATCACCATTTATATTGGGATATTGTACTGAATTTATTTGTATATTGAAGTGTAACTAGCAAGAGGTTCTAGTAGACTACTATTTTTTTATTTATTTTATGTATTCACATTTATGACTTCTTCATTTTAAATAGTTGGTAATTAGACTTTCTTTTTTGTTTATGTTCTTTCTTAAATGAGGGAATACGAAAGGGAAACATCCAACACATTTGCAACATGTAATAATATGACAAATAAATAAATAAAAAACCGAGAGTTTGAGAAAGAGCGTAGACTTTAAAGAACTCATTTTCAAAAAGAAAAAAAAAAAAAAGTCAACAAAGCTACATATTTTTGTTTTCGTCCTGTTGTTTTTATTATGTTATTGTTGTTGTTTTTTTTTTTTGTTTTTTTTATTGTTTTTGTGATGCATTGTCGTTTGTAATTTTTTTGTGTTGGGATATGTTATCATTTATGATATTTTCCTTTTATTTTGATGTCTTATATACGATAAATTGTCTTGAATTTGGTGTTGTTTTATCGGTTGTTTGTTTATAAGATCCATTGTCGATCGGAGAATAAATTATCATTTTTGTTATTACCCTAGTAAAAACTTGTCGTTTGAATAGTTACTGTTATTTTCTAAGTTGTTGACAACATATCTTGCTTGACAAACACTGTCAATTTTCAAAAGTAAACTATATTGCATGCGGAAGCTCACTTGTCCACCCAAGAATGTTCACTAATTTCACTTTGCCTCTTCACGTTAATTTTTAAAGGTCTAGCTTTTTTAAATTTTCACTAGTTTCACTTTGACTCTTCACATTAATTTTTAAAGGTCTAGCTTTCTTGACATTTTGAAGTATATAACCTTTTACTCTTTTGGTAATAAAATAACTTTTTTTAGAAGGATAAAATGGTTTTAAAAAGTACATAGTTTTGAATAAAAAGAAGTTATGAGAAAGAAAAGAAAAAATAGATCTAAAATAAAAGATATTGATTCTTCTCTGATTTTTTTTCCCCTTTTATTTATCTTGAAACTTAGCCTTTTTTTTTTTTTTTTTTTTTTTTTACCTTATCCCTTTTAAAACACTTTCACGTCACGCTTATGTATCATACTCATGTTATATTCCATTTGGAATCGGAAGCTTAGTCAAAAGCGATTTTTCAAAAATATTGGATTGGCTATTTCTCAAAAAGAATATTCATATATCTCCAAGTGTTGTTGATAAAAATAACCCATAATTTAATCTACTTTTAAAAAAATTGCTTTTTTACAGGATGACCAAGATAATCACCTTAAGCACTTATTCCATATATACTTTTTGGACTAAAGTGTTTTTGCTGTATCATTCAAAAAAAAAAAAAAAAGATTTTTTTACTCTCTTTTGGCTGTTGAAAACTAATGAATGATTGAGAGAGTAATTTTTAAAATTCTATACAGTTCTTTTTTATTGTTAGAGAAGACAAATATGCTAATATAAATATGTTTTCATCAATGAGCATAGCTTATTGAGATAGTCGGGGAATTTTTCACCTTAGAGTTGCTTAAATTGAGGATTCATATCCTCTTTTCTTTTTGTATCATTTCCGATAAATGTTAGTGGATTAGTTAATTGGAATTTTTTAGGAATGTGGGTTTTTACCAAGTATTTGTAGCCTTTGTCACTAGGTTGTGGTTCAGAGGATGCCCCCAGTCAAAGTATATGCATCTTATCAATAAACTCAACAATTGCTTTGGTTTAGGATATATACTTATTTAATGTCTTTTTAAATTCTATTTCTTCTTTACTTCTTGATATTTAATTCTTACTAAGTTTTTTATTATTATTTTTTTGTTTATGTTTTATTTTCAGAGTATGGCAAGAGGGGATAATAGTAAAAAATGACCTCTAATTTCTTCTTTATTTTAAACATTTATTCTAAATGTTATTGTCAATTAAAAAATATTTATTTTCTTCAAATGCCTTTAAAAACTGGTATTTTAGGGTTCAAATACCCATTGGATTATAATTTGCTTACTGGGTTCATATAATTTAGTATCCCTTTACTGAATTAGTCATTTAATTTTGTCTACTAATTGGAAAATGTTCTTAGTGTAGATGCATTCTCGTATGATTCTGTTTCTTTTATTTAACTTTTATACTCTACACATGTAAATCAATTAAAACCACTTTAGTTGTACAAAATTTATTTGTTTCTTTTAACAAAACTGATACAGAGCTTGGTTCAACAACCAAATATTTTTCTTAGAATTATGTTGCGATCTGTAACTACAATGATACTTCAATTAAAGGAAAAAAAAAAAAAAAAAAAAAAACCTGCAGTGATGTCTCATAGAAATTCACTATATATCATAAATGATTCTAGCTAATTATCAGTACTTTAATTACCTAAACTGACAATCTGTTGTTTTTTCATATTTTTTTCTCATTTGGATAGGTTTTATTCATTAGGTTCTCAAGGACGTACTAAAATTATATATGCCTTTCCTTACAACATTTCAACTTTGAGTTCACAATTTAAATAAAATCGCAAGAATCGTTTAAGTTTTTGTTAATTATTTTCAATGTCGAATAATAATTTAAACTTAAGAAACGTATATAATGTAAATAAAAGAACTGAAATAGAATGACTATGATGATTTTGACTCAACAATTAATGTGATGCACATTAGGAAAGAGAAAATAATTATAAAAAGTTAATATAGGCAAATTGCTCCAAAGGTTATATTTTCATTGGACGGGTGTATTAACTAAGCATAATGACGTGGTACACCCGGTCCACTGAATAATTCATTGGGAAGAAAATAGAAATTGATAGATTTGATGTGTCTAATTCTCTTTTCTTTAAAAAAAAAATACTAATAGAGTACCTTGTCGTCAATTGCAAAGGCATTTCCAACATATAAAATCACCGGGGGGCGAGGAAAAATAGAAGAAAAGATTATTATCACTGGTGTCCCTAAACTTTAGAATCATTCGCAGTTTGTCCCTGAACTTTAAGAACTCTCATTTTGGCACTTAAACTTTGAATTTGTCTCATTTAAACCCCATGGTAAGAATTTATGTTAGAATCAAACATAAAAATACGGAGTTAAGCATAGTCATGTTGTTTTTATCTTTTTTTCATATATATATAAATCCAAATAGAAAGGCCACATGACTACGTTATTCTCTTTTTTCTATCTCTTTTTAACAGAAATTACAACATAAGGGATTAACTAGGAACAATTCAAAACTTATGGGGTGAAGTGAGAGTTTTTAAAGTTCAGGAGACAAACTATAAATGACTCTAAAGTTCAGGGGCCATAATAATAATAATCTTTGATGAAAAGAAAAGTACAGTGAGGATTTAAAAAGAAAAGGTAATAACGATTGATAACTGTAAGAAATTAGAGTTATCTAATGGTTTTTTAGCTCAAAAGTTGCTTGACCGAGAGTGATTTTACTGGTTTCTTTTGTGTTTTAACTTACATTTATCAAGTTTTGCACTTACTATGGCTGAATTTTGTATTTGTGCTCTTCATGAAGTAAATTGGAGGATTTTGAATTGAAAAGAGGTAAAAAATTGACTAAGACTTGTGTGTGCGCTGTGCAAGAAATTCTTGGGCTGAATGTCACAGCATTTTGCTATAGCATTCTGGGAACAGCTGGCACGTGGATGATATCAGTGCATTACTTGGAGAAAGCAGACAAAAAAACCCGTGTGAGTTGATTGAGCGTGTGTCATTGTGGTTCACTGCATCCATCATCAAGTGACACCTCAACCTCTTGGTGGACATCCAAAGGAGTATTGTAAATACATTAAATGCCACCTCTTGTCATTCCATAACCTTTATGTATATTAAGGTCTCGTTCATTTCACCGATTCGAGTTTTTAGTTTTAGGTTTCTACAGTAAAAAAGTTCTCAAAAAATGTCGCATCTAACTTTTTCTGCTATAGTAAAAAGTTCTCACAAAATATCAAATCTCAGCTTGAATTGAAAACTCGAATCCGCGAAGTGAACGAGGCCTAAACCTCTCATTAGATCCCCATTATCTCCCTATTATATCTCTGTATATTAAACCTCTCATTAGATTCCCATTATCTCCCTATTATATCTCTCTTAATATTGTATATTATTTATCCATTATTCCATTCTTAATTTGTATGTAAGTTGTGTCTTTTCCTATGGGCTCTAGTTATGATTTAGCCTATAAATAAAAGTTGTAGTGGCTTGTAAGATTATCCCTTCACAAGTGAAAGAATACAAAGTTTCTTTGTCTCTCATATTTCTCTTGTGCTCTTTTGTTCTTTCTATTTTCTTGCAAGACTTAGTTTATGCTTTTATTTCATAATAATATAAAAGTTATTCTTTAAACAGTTCTAAAGCCAACAGGAGGCAATATATATATTTTTTTAATTAACTCGTGCATAGTACAATTTTGTAATTAACCATTGTTTTTTTTTTGTTTGGTTTTTTTATTTTTTCAGCACTATTGAGCTATTGGCTTTTAAATGGTTCCTTTATTCTTTATTTATGTGTAAGCAGGAGGCCCTGGAAAATAGCCACGTGGAGTTTCTCCTGAAAACGTGTCATAGTATTGGCTAAGTTAATTAAGCAACTGACTTATTTATAGACTAGCAACTAGTAATGTTGCATTGCATCTTTCCAAAGACCGAAAATGAAAATCTCCAGTCGGCACCGCCAAACTGCTTAACATCGTTGTTGGCGCACACTTCCAAGTTCCCAAGAGCGAATTTTATTGCATGAAAAAATAATATACATGTGCCCAGCTGTATAAAAAATTATAAAATTATGTTACTTATTAAGAAATATTTCTCATAAGTTGATTGGTGTCTAGTGGTTTATTAAAATTTCATCCTTTCAATATCATATATATGTGTTACACATGAAATTTAAAATAATGTAGCAGATGTTAAAATTGAAAAAATAAATTGGTATTCTTGAAATTTGATATGAAGATGAGTGAAACAACATAACTAGTTTATCATATTACTTATTTATATTTTAGAAGTCCCTGACCTAGAATTTCCTAATCCAACTTTAGCTTATCATAGTACACTACAATAAACAAGCTTATTTGCGACGACTAGATGTTGTCGCAAAAGAGTACGTTGTCGTCAGTAATATTATATTTGTGTGACGACATGTCGTCATAAATTAGTCGCCACAAAAAATTTAACGCAAAAATTTATTTGCGACGACAAAGTTTTGAGATGTCGTCGCTAATACATTAGTGACGACTATCGTCGTGAATAAGTCGTCATGAATGTTCCGTCGAACATGTCTTTGATGATGACATGTTCAGTTATATTTGCGACGACATATGTCGTCGCAAAAGGGTTAGATGTCGTCGCTAGTGATTTAGACTATTTGCGACGACTCTTTTCAGATTTGTCGTCGCAAAAAATGTTTTCCTCTTTTTTTCCCTAATTTTCTAATAATATTAATTATTATTAAATAAATTAGAAGAAAATTTAATAATAAAATAAATCAATAAAATTGATATTTACTAATAAAAGATTCATATAAAAAAGTCAACACAATAATAAAATAACTCTTAAAAAGTAAATTAATCAATCCATACAAAAAAGTATTGATAATAAGAAAAATAAAAATAGATATTTTAATCTCCTAAATTATCCGCATCGTCGTCCTCATCCTCGTCTTCTTCGTTTCCGTCTTGCGGCGGCGGCGGACGAACCCACAGTTCAGGACGATTAAGTGGCAAGAAGTTAATGTTGGGATTCATCGTGCACATGGCTTCTATTATCATCTGTTTAACATTCATAAAGAAAGTTTAACATTTCATGTTTCAATTTTATAAGTTGTATCAAATTTTATGAACAAGTTATTTTTTTATTGTTGCACTCATAATGTTTATAATTAATTTTTAATGTTCTTCCTATTGATATAATTAATTCTTATTAATTAAAATTTTAAAATTAATAGGTTTTAATAAAATTTTGGCATCATAACGACATATTTTTCTTATTATTCAAAAATTCAAACCTGTAAAAAATAACTTTTAAAAGATTTCGGCACACCATAACTGCAAGATGTGCCACCCAGAACAATTATCAAAACTTTTAATTTCAACCTAAATCAAATTATAATCTTAAAATTTCAACAATCTCAATATCAAATTTCAACAATCTCAAAATTCAATCTATAATCCAAATTTCGAATAATATACTAATTCTAAAATCTATAAATCAAACTTCAAGATTTATAATCCATAATTATACACAATTTAAATAACAAAAAACTCATACATTTTAAACTAAAAAATACAGTAATTATAGAAAAACTTACAAAATTCAAACCCACTGAAACATGGGCTGAAAACGACAAGATAAACACAGGCAAAGGGCGGCGGCGACAGACTTCGACGGCGGCAGACTTTGACGGTGAGATTTTGGGATTTTTTGGATGAAAAAAAAATATAACTTATAATATTGTTGATTTTGAAGAGAATATAAGGAGATTTTGAGAGTTTGGGGTCAGAAAACCGGAGAAAACCGATGAGAGGCCGAGAGAGAGAGAGAAGCCGATCGAAAAAAATAGAGGAGGAGGCTCTGCTCGTGGGCATATAACATAGTCTTTTGCGACGACAGAAAAGAATATTTGCGACGACTAGTCGTCGCAAATATAACTTAAAATTATTTGCGACCACACTTACATTATTTGCGACGACAAATGTTGTGGAAGGAAGATTCTGGAATTCTTATTTGTGATGATACCTATAATGTCGTCGCAAATAATTTTTGGGGATCCGCCCAATTTCCCCGCCTTTTATTTTACTGAGGGAATACAAAATCACTTATTGCGACGACACACATTAATGTCGTCGCAAAAAATTTT